ATGGTGTAGAGCCATGAACGAGTCCTGAATGTGACGATTCCTCTCTGCAAGTATTGGATAGTGACTGGCGGATATAAATACGACATGAGGTGCTCAAACAATACAACCAGAGAATGTACAGATAAAGAATGAGCTCTTGCATGCCTCAACTATCTATAAAAGAGCCAACCTATAGTTTTAAGAAGTGAAAAGATGGTCATAATCATCCACACTCCAGCTGCAACATGACAACTGAGTGAGTTATTCCACCGTACCTGGTTCTGATAGACTGAGACTAAGTCTGATGATAGACACTAGTCATAGGACTCAGCTGAATACACTTCTGTCTTCATGGCAATGGAGGGGCAAGCGCCTTGGCTCCTGAAAGCAAAATTTAGAAAAACGGGAATTGCAAATGGGTGAGAATATTCCTATGATAAAATGCTATAAAAGCCAAAACAGCAACCAAAGAGCTTACAGAAGAGATTAATAGAGTACACTGAAACAAAAGGACAGCTCAAAGTGGCTCCCACAGCTAGAATGGCTGGATAAAAGAGAAGATTGTTCAGCCTGTCTTTCCTCCAAAAATCCGCCATTTTACCACCACTTTGGGTGCGCGTTAATTAGAATCGCTTAAGTGCAAAAGGTCCATTGAGTCGCAGTAGCTTCCTCTGCAGATCTGTAAAATGCCGTACTGGGTTAAGCATTACAAAACGAGAGATGGATCAAGAGACTCTACTCCTATCCAAACGATCCCTATAAACTTTACGTCTTGCTCCCTTGAGTTGTTGTGTATGAAACAAGAAAACGCTTTCCCACCTTCTCTAAGTAATCTCCTGCCCTCTCCTCGACCCTCCCTTCAACAACCACCAGCAGCAACAGCCTCACCTCCTAATCAAGCAATAGATGAACGTACTTACATGATACTACTGTCCTGTAGGGAACAAACGAGTCTTAATGGAGGCAGAGCATTCAAACTATATTCTTCTAAGACTAGGAGCAAAGCAGAGACGGCCCTTCACACCATCACTTGTATAATTGAGTCATTAGCACCAGTTCTTGATCTCTGTCTCTCCACTGACCTCCTCTCATTATTATTATTACCATCTCCAAGAAGAATTGAGGAATTACCATCTCTAGTAGCTCAATATGCTGTGAGTGTTAAACAAAATCGCCAAGAGCTCCTCTCACTAGCCAGACTACACATTA